ATGTCAAACTAATATGATAAGATTGATAACTAAGTTGAGCACGAAGCTCCTATCTAATGGCAGACGTGCCAGTCTTATATAGAACCTTCGTTCCCTGATTGATCGCTCTAGTCGCTCACCCTGATCGCTTCAGTCGACCGGCGACTCAGGCGACTAGAAGAACCTTCGTTCTCTGATTGATCGCTCTGCTCGCCCTGATCGCTTCAGTCGACAGGCGACTCAGGCGACTAGAAGAACCTTCGTTCTCTGATTGATCGCTCTGCTCGCCCTGATCGCTTCAGTCGACAGGCGACTCAGGCGACTAGATCACGTGATTTTCTAACCAGAAGAAATCCCTGGATCGCTTAGCTAGTCTAACTGATCCCTTTTTGCTATAAGTCCATGGATGTGCTTAACCTGTCAGGACGCCGCCTGGACTTCCTTTGTCACATGCATTGCTACACGTGATTCGTGACAAGTATACTTAAAAAGATTTTTTATGTGATATTTATATTCCTTTATAATATATTAATATATTACTAACTTGAAAACTAACTAGAGCCTTTTTTCAAGTTTATATAAAAGCTTATAATTTAAAAGTTAGCTTTAATAAATAAACTCTTAGTAAGATAGAATACTTAATTTATTTAACTATAAATAATAATATAATAAAGATAACTTATAACTTATATTAATTACTAAATATTCATTTATTTTATTAAGTTAATATTATATATCTATAGAAGAATATACTAGAAGAGGCTTTTTACTTAATTCTAGGCGAGGTAATTATAACCTTCTAGGGGCTTTATACTCTATTACTAGCTTTAATTTATTGAGATAATTTTATATTATTAATATATATTAATATTATTAACTCTTAATTAACTAACTACTTCTATACTCCTATTTAGCTATAATTATATTTAAAATATATATATTCTTAGCTCCTTTTGTTATTTTAGGTTATTAAGGGTTTAATTAAAGTACTATTAAAAGTTAGAATAGTAGAATAGATTAGAGTAAAGGAGGAGGCGTAGGAACGGTAGTACTAAGGTACTAGCGCACGGGCTAGGAACACCAAAACTACGACTATAAAATCTTTCTAACTCTCTATATAAAAAGAGAAGCGTTTAAATTAGGGGTTCGCTAAACACAAAATATCATCTTGGCGGGACGCGGACCACGGAGGAGATAATATATAACTAACCATATAAAAATTAAGGGGTACCTATATCTCACTCAATTACCGTAATATAAATAACAAGTATATCTACCTCCTTATCCTCCCCAGCTCCCCATATCAAGGGACCTTCACCACCTTACCTTATTCACTAACCATTCCCAGCACACTCCCTACTATCCCCAAGAATCCCCAAAAACCTCCGAAAACATCCTCAAAAATATCCCACACACAATAAAAAGTTAAACCCCCTTTCAAATTCTCAGTAACATTACCTATATCTACATCAATATCATAAAACGTCCCGGTCGGTCCCGGTCTCTTAACATCTATACAGACTTGACTCCTTTATTGCTAGATAGAGATAGAGATAGAGATCTTTTAGTCGTATTATATGGATCCCTTCCTTCCTTCGTACCTTCGGATGAAATATATGAGTTTAATGAAACCTTAGTATGTCGTAAGTTCAACGAGGGCAAAGTTAAGAGGAATACTAAATTTCATTTCAAGATCGAGATCAAGATCAACGTCTCATACACAAGTCCCAAAAGACCCATACAACGAACCCCACTCATCACGTTAACTCTATAAGAAGCTGGGTAGCGGCAAAATATACATTTCTCACTAACCAGTCCACTCCAGTCCAGCCCAATCACCCCCCAAACCCATCCCAGTCCCCAAAGCCATCACCCACAAAACCCCACAAACGAATACTCCTCCAAAACCGGTCTCTCCATCCCCTCCTCCCACCCATCCCCATCCCCATTCCCCCTCCCCTCACAAAAAACCCAAACCATATCCCCATCCCCTCTCTCCAACCTCCCCCTCACATCCCCCCTCTCCCACACCACCCTCCCAAGAACCCCCAGAATCTCCTCCACAACCTCCTCTTCCACATCCACGAACCCAACAATATCACACATCAAACCAATAATACCCTCCCACTTCCTCGCCGCCTCACTATACACCCCTCTCGAGGCCGTGCCTTTACCTTTCTCTTTATGATAGGCGAGAGAGCAAGATTTCGCAAGAGCGAGGATATCAGGCCAGGACGTCCGGATGCGGGTGGTGAGGAAGGAACCGGCCTGTTGGCAGAGGATGGAGAGGGTGTGGAGGGTGTTGATGGAGACGTAGGG